TTATAATTTCTTCAGATTTTAAGTTTCTGAAAATCTCATGAATTAATGATCTGTCCGAGTCTATTATAAATTTGCATGTACAGTGCAGCATAAGAAGATGATAATTTACACACACACACACACACACACACACACACACACACGAGTGCGTGCACACACATGTGTGCACCGAGACTCAGACATGAAAAATGAATAATGCCAACAAAGCAAACCAAGCCAAACAAATGTGTTTTGTTTCATACCTTGAAGTTCTTTTGATTTGAGGTTTGCAGAACTGAAAGGAAGATAGGGTGTTTTAAATGTGTGTTTTCAAAGAAGAGTCTTCTCTTTTAAATCAATCCTAATTCAATTCTGCAGGCATCCTCAAACTACGGCCCACAGGCCACATACGGGCCACCTAGCACATTTATCCGGCCCTCCAGGTGTTTTTGCCACCACTGCCTGTTCTGCTTAGCAGCCGACTTGTCCCGGGCCCAGAGTGCACACTCTCCAACAGTCTGAGGAACAGTGAACTGGCCCCCTGTTTAAAAAGTTTGAAGACCCCTGTGTTAGAGTCTTAATTGTTTCATGGACCTTTAAGGAGACTGGATTTACTGTTATTTATCTGAACCAGGGTTCAAAAGGGTTCTTCTGATTAAAGTAACCATTTCTATCACATAAATGAGAACATTTACTACCAATAGCTCTCATTTATTGAGCATTACTATATGCTTGGCACTGGCTAAGCAACTCAAATACGGGATTTCATTTAATAAAAGCAATAATTTGAATAGGTGAGCATTTATATCCTTTTCTTAGAGGTAAGGAATCAAGATGAGAGCTTAAGTAATTTTTCCAAGGTCACTTAGAAAGCAGGAGTGGAGTTGAGATTTACAAACAGCTTGTATGAACCTCAAGTCCATTCTGTTAACCCCTATTGTCTTCCAAAATTACAATTAATAGTCTTTGGAAACTGTGTCGTCTATATCCTGTTGCAAGAAACAAATGTACAGTTTAAGGAACAGGCACGAAGCTGTTAGAATAACTAAGTTCTAGAGCTGTCCTCTGTCCTTGTGTGGGATTTGTGAAACAATATTGCTTTGACATCTGTGGCAGAGAAAACCACCGTCTACCTCAAATTCTTGGGTCTTTCCATGGTACAGGATGCTCGCCGGGAAGCTGCTGTCTAGCCGGGTATGTTGCCTAGTTTTACCTATAAATGGAAATGATGTTGGTGGCACCCAGGCCGAGGTTTCTAAGTGGTGCCTGTGCCTTCTCCACTAACTTGCTGAGAGGTGACACTTGGAAACTGCCTGTAGGAGGTGGTGGCGCCTCCGCCCCCGGCCTCCCTCCTCCACCCCAACTGGAGCAAACGTACTGAAGCGTTAAGTGAGTGAGGACTATGTTCTCACTATTAAGCCATCCCGATAATGGGGTTTCTTTGTTACAGCAGCCAGTGTTTCCCTCACCAAGAGTATACCTTCCTTTAGGGGTGGGTCCATTGCTAACAAGTGAGGTGGATGGAACAGCTGAAAAGACACTAAAGTTCCTCTCCCCGTCACCAAAGGGCACCCCCAGTTATGTGGTTACTGAGAGTGAGCTGGGTGGTCAGACTTATTTAGTATAAATTATGGGCCCGAGTAAGAGAAGGGGTGAAGAGGTGGACCGCTGGGGGCATAAGGTGAGGGTTGCAGGTAGGAACTAAAGTTGAGTTTTCTCTTTTGATTGTAGCTCACTCAGTGCGTTTTGAGCGAGGAGTCTCTAAGGGGACAGAGAGGAGATGATTTCAGATAAAGAAAAAAGGTGAATGAACGTGGATGTCTTTAAAATGAGTGAGCAGAAGTACCCTAAAGGAACGACTTTCTGAAGAGCTTTAACTTCATGTCTAACCTCTCTGACCGGACAAGGCACATATTCGCCTTCCTGTTCTCAAAATCTCTGGTTCTCTTCTGCAAAGGGACAGATTAAATGCACATGTTTTTGTTTTGGGTTATTTTTCTTCCCCTATAAAATAAACCTCACAGTACTTCCCTTATTTGGAGTGATGTACTTTTCTGCACACTAAGGCATTTGGCTATTGATTTGGTTAAAAATGGAGAACTTCTCTCTGTTTAAACTCTGCTGTCCACCCTCCCTCCTGTTCTCCACATCACTTCTGTTGCATTTTCTGAAAATCTGTTTAATTAAAAATTCCACATATGGTTTATTGAATTCATCTAAAAAAGAGACGATAAGAAGAAAAATTATTTGGTCCCATAATTGAGCAAACAGATATTTGGATACTAGGTTTGGGGAGAAATAAAACTAATTGTTGAAACATCAGTTAATGAGAACATTCAGTTTTGCCAGTGCAATGTTGGAAAAGAGCACATCTTTATTTGATAACGGAAAATACTAAGAATTACTTGAAGCAGTCTGTTGGAATAACTATATGAGATCTACATGTTTCTTGTGGGTGGCCATTAACTTTCAATAGCAGATCTAGCTCAGAGAATAATAACACAAGTAGACCTTCTACCATGTAGTTTGTTAATGAAAATAATACTTTATTTGCCGATCACAGAAATAAATCCCTGAAATTTTCACTACCTCTAAGGGAGAAAGTTCTTCTTTGGTCTTAAGAGAGAGCAAGGGGAAGCCAGTCTGTCCTCCCCAAGACAAGAATGAGGAGGACAGCTGCAGGCAGCCATCTTCCCACCACCAGGGGAACCTGGCTTGAAAGGAAGCCAATAGTATCTACGCAAAGAGGAGAATCCTCTGTATCAGGGATTCTCAATAATTGACATTTTGGGCTAGATAATTCTTTGTAGAGGAGGCTGTCCTGTGCAATGTAGGACGTTTAGAAGCATCCCTGGCCTTTATCCAGTAGCACCCCCACCCTGCTCATGACAATCAAAAATGTCTCCAATTGCCAAATATCTCCTGGGGGACAAAGTTGCTCTAAAGTAATGCAGTAGACATATGACATGAGCCACATATGTAATTTAAAATTATCTATAGCCACATCAAAAAGAAAATAAAAAAAGAAACAGGTGAAATTAATCCAAACAATACATTCTATTTAATCTAATTATTCAAAATATAATTTAAGCTATAATTAGTATAAAATTATTGAGGTATTTTACATTCATTTTTTTGTACAAAGTTTCTGAAATCTAGTAAGTACTATATACCTAAAGTGTATCTCAGTTCTCATTAGCCACAGCATTTCAAGTGTTCAGTAGCCACATGTGGCTAGTGGCAACCACATTAGTGCAATTCTAAAGCCACCAACACAAAAACTTCCTCTACCTTTTGACTTACAGTTAACTGAGTCCATAAATGCCCTTTTTAAAAAATTTTTTTTGGTGTGATTATCTGTTCCTTCTGGCTGAAAGTATCCTAATATAAGCCTAAATGCTATTTCTGATAATTAAGGTATTAATAAACTCCAGTAGATATCTTTGCTAGCATTTCATCTGAGTTTCTTCCTTATTGTGCAAACATGGGCCAACAGTGGCCAACGGTACTCTTAGTGTGACTCTAAGGTGTTGCTTCCACTAAGACAGCCAGGGCACCTGCCTGCAGGCCCAGTGCTTGCGAACCTGGCTTCTTCTCGAAGGTCTTTCTGGAAGAAGGAGCCATGCTTGCTTCTCTTTGCATTTTCCTGGGTCCTTTGGTCATGAACTGTATAGTCTCACTGCTAAGGCCTGGCTTGCTCCTTCCCCACACTCAGTAGTTCCTTGCGTGTGAGCTCCTACCATAGTCGCAGCATTTTTCTGGGTGACAGAAATAGTAGAGACAAGTCAGTGATGGGAAACTGTCTTCAAGGTGGATGAGCAGAACCAAGGCAACTTTCCTGACCACAGCTGGGAACTGCAGTAAAGCCGAAGGAGGGCATTCTTGCAGAGTTGTCACAATCAGAAACCAGCAGAAATTCACGAGGAAGTTGTTTCAGGAGCTATTTTTTTTTCCCCCAGATGCAGCAGGTTTGCATAATTGAAAACACATGGGTCTGGAAAACCAGGATTTGACTCTAAGAACTAGAAATGTTAGAAAAGTCTCACGGTCTAATTCCGCTTCCCATTTTACGGATGAGAAAACTAAAGTCTGGTGGGGTTAGGTAACTTGCCCTCGTCTATGCAGTGTTAGCAACAGACTCAGGACTGTAATCTGTTCTCCTGACTCAACAAATATTCCCACCCCAAAACTGCTGCCTCTTATATTTATTTTGGGTTCCTTCAAATAACAACTCCCATTCCCCAAGTGTTTTTATTTTTAATTAAACATTTCCTTTGGAAATAATTTTAGGTATACATAGAAGTTGCAAAAATAGTATAGAGAACTTCTACACATCCTTCACCCAGTTTCTTCAATGATAATATCTTACATGACCATAACCCAGTGATTAGAACCTGGGAATCGATGTGGTACAATACTACTAACTACAGGTCTTATTCAGATTTTACTAGTTTTTACATGTGCTTTTTTTTCTTTTGGTGTATGATCTGCAAAATTTTATCACATTTGTATAACGACCACCACAATCAGGATGGAGAACTGTTTGATCAACGCAAAGAAACTTCCTTGATCCCTTTAATCCCTTTATAGTCGAAGCCTTCCCTCAACTTTAATTCCCAGCATTGATCTATTCTTCGTCACACACTTTTGTCATTTTGCGAATATTATATAAAGAGAGGCAGGCCGTACGGTATGTCGCCTTTGCAAACACGCTTCTTTAACTCAGGGCAATGCCCTGGACGTTCATCCAAGCTGTTGCACGTATCAACAACTCATTCCCTTTTTATTGCTGAGTAGTAGTACATATTTCATTGCAAAGACGCAGCAGAGCTTATTTTAACCTATCACCCACTGAGAGACGTTTGGCTTGTTTACAGTTTTGCCTTTTTTTTTTTTTAAGAAAAAGTGTGCTATGAACATTATAAATTCTCTTTTAATCATTTGCGAGTGCTGGAGGTTGGGTTTTTGATTGTTTTCTTGCCACAACTCTTAGTTTGTAACAATCCTTACTTGGCTGACAGGGACAGAAATGAAAGAAAGAAACACAGGCTGCAAACCCCTGACTCCCCAATTTGGGACGTGAACGTGATGAAGCCCGATTGACTGCGTGGTTCCAGGTCTATCCTCGGTGGTTCCAGGTCTATCCTCGGTGGTTCCAGATCTATCCTTGAGACCAGCGGTTTTAAAGAGGCTCCCTGGACCACCGGCACCGGCATGGCCTGGGAGGTGGTTGTATAGGTAAGTCTCCAGGTCCCACCCGAGACCTACTGAGTCACAGATTCTGGGTGTGGGGCCCGGCAGCCTGTGCTGTAACCTTCTGAGGACAATGGGAATGGTGACAGCTGAAAGACTTCACGTTTTCACTAAAAGAAAGTCTCAGAGGCTGGGTACCCACAGGCCCTGAGTCCAGGGAAGCCGTTTTCCCTCCGCGCTGTGTGGGCAGTGGGGTGAATTCTTTCTTTCTGGCAGAGAGTGCCTGGTGGTGTCCATAAAATCTGGTACCTTTTAGAAGAACCTGTGTCTTAAATGCTTCCATCCCCCCCCCTCCCCTGCAGACAGTGTGGAAGATGGCTGCAGCTTCAGAGGCTCTCTGGGGGTGCGGGGCGCTGCGCATGTCAAGGGAAGAAGCTCGCGGGGAGTCCTGCTCAGATCCGTGGGTATTTCTCCGTGGAACAGATACGCTCATAAAACATTAAAGGCTCTTATGCAGATGGGTTTTAGAGCATTAAATGCACGGGGGTTAGGAGATTTAATAGAGTAAGACCCCATTCTGGCCTTAGGCAGAATTGAGAAGCAGAAAAAAGCTGTCCTTGCTGGCTTGTTTCTGCTTTTTGGTTTTCCTTCCCGCGTGTGCCCTGACCCCTCCCAGCGAATATTCCTCTGCGCTTTCCGCTCTGCCTTCCTGCCTTGCCTCCCCTCCCCCAGAGCTTCAACCCAACTCGCTTTTCTCTCTCTGTGCAAGTCAGTTCAGACCCTTTCCTCTGCCAGGTGACACTGGGTTAACGAGAATCCCTCAATTTTGGAATAAATTTGGCAGATTATCCCCAAGACATGCTGTCACTCTGTTACCTACTCCTTACTTTTCTCTAGGAATAAAATCATCTCAGCCTGACAGTGAACGGCAGGTATTTCAGGCATGCGGTAGGAGGCACATGGGCGATACTCTTTTCATCTGAGTTATTTAAAATATCTCCACTGATTAAAGGATGCCAATTGGTCAGGTTTCTCCTGCTGATGGCTCTGTTGGCTGTCTAGGGAGTGTGTGTGTGTGTGTGTGTGTGTGTGTGTGTGTGTGTGTGTGTGTGTGTCCTCGGGTGGTCCTGCATGGCGGGGAGGCAATTTTTAGATGCTTTATGAAGAATATAACGAAACTGTTCATCCTCAGCTGCCATATTTGGGAGAAGCCGTCTGTTTTAAATGAAAAGATAAAGGCTTGGGTCAAACTAATCCCAATTTTTTTTTTTAATTTTTTTTTTCTGGTGAATTTTGTTTGATTTTAATCATCATTCCTTTCGAGTTCATTCTGTTTTATTAAAAAGAAAATGCTCACGGCCCTTCAGTCCTCACTGGGGAAGGTTTGCCTCCAGGCACGAAGCCGGGCTGAGGGTGAGGTTGTTTAAGTATAAAGACCAGCACCCTCTCCTGGCCCAGAAGCACTCAGGGACAGGACACAGTCTCCCTGGCTTTATCCTAACTCTTGAATAAACTTTTTAAAGAGTCTTTGTTTGTTCCTGTGAATTGGAATTCCAGCCCTGCCCTGTCCCTTCCCCCAGAGCACCGAGAGAATGGAAGGGCCCTGAATGATGGGACAGCTTCTAGGGGCAGATTCTAATTTCTTTCAGTGAAGGCCGCCTTGAAATTCAAAGCAGCATTATTATTTCATCCAATTTAAAACCCTGCCTGATGCTGAATGGACAAGCACCTAATTTCACCTTTGGAGGCAAACGGGAAGCTTTTTGTGCCGCAAGAAGAAAAGAGGATTCAGGAGGATAATTGAATGAAAATCCCTTTAAGGTGCCAGAAAACTGCTCCCTTCCAAAAAGGGATGAAACGAGGTCAAAATATATTTGTTAAAAGTGTGGGGCATGAAAGCCTTAATTATTTCTTTGGAAAGCCGTGTCTTTTAAAGACTTAAACAAAAGCTTCAAGAAGGTAGATGCTGGGAGAAATTGCCCATGGCTTTAGAAAAGGTGAAGCAGCGCAAAGGAAAGCAATTACTGGTTAACAATGGTGTATTAACGGGCGATTCTTCCTCCAGATTGGGGGAACCTTGCGTTGGGTTTGGGGTGAGACTTAGAAAGACCCCCTGGTGGTCCTGCCCAGGTCTTTGCACAAGATGCAGCAGGATGGAAAGGGGGCATGGCCAGATGTGACCGGGAGCCCCACTGGCTGACTAAGGAAGTGAAGAAATGGTCCTTATTTCTTAGATTCCACTGAAAATGTTATTTCTCGAGGGGCAGAATTGCGGGCTGCTGTAGGAAAGGAACGCTCTCCGGATTTAGATGGATGTGTGTTCTTAATCTCCAACCCCTCATCCACTAGCCTCACCACCCTAGGCACATCCTTTGTCCTCTTCCTCATTTGTACAATGGGGAAATATTTAGCCTCCATAGAGCGTGGAAATCAAACCAGGTTATGCGGTGCCTGGTACACAACAGATGCTCCATAGGTATAGGTTTTCTGGATTTCTCATGCCCGTGTGCTTGGTTTGACTTGTGGGAGCCCCTCTGCGGCAGGGCTGGAGCTGGCTCTCGAATGCATAGTGAGTCTTAGGGAAGCTCGTCCCACGTGCTCACCCTGCCTTTAGCTTGGTGGTCTGCCTGTGAGTGCCTGGGGCTGTCCCCTGGCTTATCTCTCCCTCCAAACCTAGGCTGCCTGTGCACCGGCTTCCCTAGTGGGAGTTTCCCAGCTAGCAAGGGATCCACAATCTCCCAGGGTTAACGGAATCCCGAAGGCAGCTTGCATTTCTACCCTCTTCACGCTCACTGTGCTGCAGGGCAGTATTTTCCTGCAGGGAAGGAGGGGGGCTGGCTAGAACAATCCCTTCTGGCCTTTGGATTCTTTTATGTCATGCAGAACTCCCCCAGGAGTGTTTCAGTTTGTATATTTATTCTGTTCCAAGACTCAGCCAGGAGTTTCTTCCTAGTTCCCCATCAATCACTTTTCATGGCAAGAACTGACAGCCAGCAGGAACCTTGTCTCCGTGCCTCCCCACCCCTTTCCTGAATGACACGACGCTCTCAGACTTGAAACCAGGACAGTGTGTTGGGGTTCCGGCCAACCCAGCCGAACAGTAACGGTGGGCAGCAGGGTCTGTGGGTGGAGGGGGGCTGGGAGCCTCTTCTTAAGGAAGAAAGAGACCTCCTTGAAAAGATTTCCAAGCCTTGTTAAAAACAGACTCCCTCAGAGCTGTCAAATCAGTGAATGCAAAGATTTCCCAAGGGTTTCAAAGAGGAGACACCCCGGCCCTGCTTTTGGGGAAACTGTTAATTCAGAGTCGAGAACCTCTATCTGGTTTGCTGGTTGGGGAAGAATTTCCATAGCACATGCAGGCATTGCAGGCATTGGTCCGCCATGTCTCCTCTTAGGAAGTCAAACTGAGGCTGTCTTTTTCTGGGAAAAATGGACAAGAAATAGCAAATCTTTCCTACTGTCCCATTGATCCAGTAAAGGGGGTTTTCTGCATGATGCGCCTTTTAGACTGGCATGGGGAGGCCGTACATAATCAGAAATATGAACACAGAACCTGTCCTCGTGGCTACGCTGGATTTCATAGTAATTGGGTGTTGGGCATCTTGACAGAAGAGAATAAAGGATGTTAGAGAAGTGGGAGCAGCGGCTTGATTTTCTAATTATGTCTTCCCTGTTGGGGCCAAAGGATGCACATCTTCAATTTCTCCCCTTATTCTTTTTTTCTAAATTGGTAGAGCTCAGTTCCTGAGGCAGATATGAGCACTGTGTAAAAAAACCCAGAATTTTCTAACAACCAGAGTTATCTCAAAAGTCATGCTCTTCCTGCCCTTGCAAGCGTGCAGGTGGTGTCAGCACAGCTGGAATGCATGTTTCCACAGGGCTGGGCAAACGCTAAGACAGAAGTTTCCAAATCTGGTTATTCCGGCCATCACCCTGGGAGTTTGCTAGCGATATATCCACTCCCAGACCCCCAGACCCACACAGAATCACGATCTGTGAAGGTGCGAGGGTGGGGCCTAGGAATCTGCGTTGTTATAACTCTCCCCAGGTGAATCTCCTGAGCAGCATTGCTCTAAATTCCCTTTTAATCAAAGATTCTAATAATATGGAATTTTGGATGAAAACACTCTTTGGCTAGAGTTCTCTCTGAACACTCAGCACCCGAGGTGCTAGGACTACTTTCTCAGTACTCTCCTGGACTGCCCTGGAGTGTGCAAGGCCCTCCCACCACTCCCTGTCTCCTGCTCTTTCCCTGTTCCCTGTCCCTCTTCCCTTTCTGCACTTCCTTCCCTTTCCCTTGCGTCTCCCCTCCCTTTTGTCTCTTTCTAGGGTCTGTTTATCTGTGTGTCTTCCCAACAAAGACCCTACGGTGTTAGTGATCTCAAGACCCCCGACCCTCCACATCTGTAGGTCAGAACCCCGAGTGCATGATTTCCATGCAGCTCTCACAGGTCCAGCCTCTCCGAAGACAGCTGCCCAGGCCCTCGGGTGGAGTCCAGAACCAGCACAAAGCGAATGGCGTCTGAGCTGGGCTGGCATGCACCTGTGGCTTCCCTTAAAGCAAGAGAGAAAAGAACTGGTATCTTACTTTCAGGAGTTATCTTGAACCCTGGTTTATAAGTACGTGAGCATAAAACACTCTGCAATCCGAAAGCCCCTGTGTGTTATTTTCTCTGAGAGCTTTAAATACAGGATGCTTCGGCCACCAATTTCGGTAGTAAAAGGAAGGACCCAGAGGCTGACACAGGTAAATCTGGGTGCGGATCCGGCGCAGGAAATCAAGCTCCTTTGCTTTGTCGTTAAAAACAAATCCAGTAATGCTATTTCCATTAACTAATCAATCTCTCGATTAACTCATTTTTTATCACATACCGGTACTTATTGAGTGCCTACTGAATGCCAAGTACTGTGCTAGGAACTAGGGGGAGGGACATGAATAAAACATCTGCCCTCAAAGGTGAGAGCCTCTCAAAGGGAATAAAACAGAGGAGCAGACAATTCTGGGGTGTAGAGAAGATGAAAATCATGCCACTGACTTTAAGAAGGAGAAGCCCTGACCAGGTTTGGATGGGGCTCATGGTGACAAGGACAATCTCCTCTCTGAAAATCCATTCT